GTGTGGTTGGACTGATTGATATCATTGAATAACAGTCAGTATTATGTACTGGCATTGCTTGATCAATTGATGAAAGATACCTCTGAACCTGGAAAACCGCCCAAAAGCTTTCAAATCTTGTATGACATTGGTTGTACCTTGGAAAAAAGTGTTAAGAATGTGAGAATAGGTATTTTTGTTCTCTGTTATTATTTCAATGCACTCTGAAGTACTTTGCCTCCTTTAACAGCATAAGTATTTTGAAGAAGAGTATGCGCGGGGAGATATCAGATTTCCCACTAGTGCCTTTCATGCTTATGCTCACGAGTGGACTTGTCAACTGAAATATAATCCCAGGTTGAACAAGGGTTGGGGTTTGTCAGATGGCGAAGGTTTAGAGCGGGATTGGTCGGACCTGGATCCACTTATAGCGCCATGTCGATGCTCAACAAAACAACATCGAGTAGATATGATTGATTTAAAGTCCAGTCACTGCAATGATATGCGATGCAGAAATGCTGGTATGTCTATATGATCTCCATCTATAATACTTCCTTCTAAGTTGAATATCATTTTCAATTCATATTTAGCGCGGTCAATTGAGGTGAAGCTAAAGACAGCTGAAAAGCGGTTGGATGTTGCATCTGACACTCTTGAGAAGCTAGAGACTCAAGATGACTCATATACATGGGTGTATTTCTCGGACCAGTGGGACCGGCAGAGACAGTTGCAACTTGCTGCAATGGCGGATGGTGACGCTCAGCAGGAACTAGAGGATCGCCTTGTGGAACTACTGGACCTTGAGGCAGAAGTTAAAGATGCTCAGTTCGTTTGTTGAATGTGCAAGCCTTCAAAGATAGTGGTCTGATATCAATTATAATATAGTGATGAACTTCGTCGACTGCGAAGGAAACGACGAAGAAATTGGACAGATGATGAAGTTGAATCTTCACTCACCTTACCAGCGTCCATTGTTGAACTTGAGAAATCTATTGCAGATGTGACAGAAGAGTTAGGAAGTCCGGAGTTCCGCCGGCTTCGTGCGTCAACTGGTTAGTACCATATCCTGACTGATCAGGATTGGACTTTGGCTGACCAATTTGTGCCTCCTTTTTTTCTTAAAGGTAAAAAAGCTGAGGCACTCATACGTGTGCGCCTGGCAAAGATGAAGCTTTATGAAGCCAAAGTGGGTATCGTGGAGGCTCAAAAGAAGTGGGACAAGTACGCTGAAGGTAGGTGTTTGATTTCGATTTTGTTTTTGGTTCATTTGTTTAATTTTTAAAAGGATGTGGAATTAATTTTTGAATTAACTTACATTTGGAACAATGCAGGAACCAAAGCACAACAGGGTATGAAAACTCTGATGACGAAGAAACAGTTGATGTTCAAACGCAAATGGACTTCATATGAAGATCAAGTCTCACTATACAACCGAATCCGCCCTATCAGCCGCATGGGTTGTCCTTCCCTTGATGAAGCCAAGAGACTCCCTTTCGAGGATAATTTCTGGAATGTAGGTGCGCTTACACATCCCACGGAGAAATGGGCTGTGGATGCGCAAACCATTGAAGGCATACAGGCTTTTTTGCAACAGCGGAGTTGTCGGGAAGAGCTTAGAAGGTTGGGAAGGGAGGCTCAGCAGATGGTACACCAAGCACTGAATATGGAATTAAAATTTGATGGTTTACTAGCTTTGTGTAGTGGTGGTAAGTCCTGCTTAATAATGTTATGTGCGTGTGAAGTTTCTGATAATGATCTTGGTTCAGAAGATTATGATCCTGAAGGAGGTGGAAAGGAGCTAATTGAATTAGTTCAGCCCGGTCAGCGCGTCTCAAAGGATGTTTGGGAGGTGAATTTGGGGGTTTTGAAAGCGCTTCACAGCAATCTTTGTCAGATGCATTATGGGACATGGATGACTTGGGACGGAAATATTGTAGAGTTATTGAGAAGAACTCATCACCACACAATGGCGACAGAGCAAGAGATTAATACATTGATTCAGCGCTGGAAAAGTTTGGTGCGTAGAGGTCAGTCAATATTGGAAGATATTATCGATGCCAAACATATAGAAGCCACTGATCTTGATGAGCTGGAAGATTTTGAGCAAAATATGCTTCACGGGGAAGGTGAAAATGATTTTGGGGGGGAGCTAGGTGAGATGGTGGATCAGCTCTTCATCCATGATGATGAAGATGAAGATGAATGGGAGGGTATTGTGGATGATGATAATATGATGAATAGCTAGCTAAGAATTTTGTAATTTAAAAGTCTTGGGACATGCCATGAGGTCAATGCACAGAAGTTTGTTACAAACGTGATAATGGGATCCCATGTTCAATGGTTTGAATCACAAGAAGTGTATTTAGTTGAACCGTGGTAGTTGGTTTTCCCACATGTGTGATTTCTATTCACACATGTGGGATTTCTATTCACACATGTGTGATTTCTATCCTGATTTGTGTGAGTGCCGTTCACAAATTTGTGATTTCAAGAGCAACACACGTGTGAATATGTCACACGTATGTGTGGTCATGTATTTTGACTTTTTATGATAGTAACACATGTCAGTTGAAATCACACATGTGTGACTCTCATTTTGACACAAGTTTTAACTGGGATCATACGTATATGAATGTGATCTACAGTCTAGCTCAATCATAAATCACACATGTGTGACAGGGGTTGTACATATGCAGCCGTAAAACTGGTAACCAAGAGTCACACATGTGTGACCATCTATCACACATGTGTAGGCAAAAATCACACATGTGTGAAAAGGGGTTGTACAATTCCGTAATTTCACAAGTTCAACCCAAAATCACACATGTGTGACCGAGTTTCACACCACGTGTGACTGGAGATCACACTTGTGTGACAGCTTCTTATGTAACATCTTGGATCGTTGGGTAATTTTGTATGCAAGTGTATAGTAGTATGTTGATACTATGTTTACGTGGTGATACTGTTGGCGATGTTAAAATTCATGTGTGAACTTGTGTTTTTGTAGTTGTGAATCCGACGCGGCGGCCGCGTCGGCGTGTCGGAAGGGGGGTCTTCGGCTTGTCGCCGATAGGAACGACCCGTTTCCTATCGGCTAGTATCCGAAGGGGCGGGTAGCCACAGGTGGCCTCGGCCAGAGTTAAAGTCGAAGGCTTTTTCAACAATGCTCTTACAAAATGTTGGATGAGCATGGCTGTGTGGACTTTTTCTTGACATAACTTGAAATGCGATACGTGGAAGTCCGGTTGAAACCTTTGGACCTCGACAGCCAAGGGACCCGGATTGATTCGACCAACAGGTCGATCCAAACTCGCAAGAAAGGTGGTAGCAAAATTCCAATAACGGAGCGGTTTGGCGAAATTGATATTCAACAAGCTTTTGCGGGCGCTAAATGACAACGGGGTAACTCCATGAACATTCGAGGTCAGCTTAAAAACCCAAGAGTGATTCGGGTCAACATCAGGCCTTGGTAACTCATTTTCCCCCAAGAGCTGGCGTGCAGATTCAGGAGTGAGGATGGGCATCAGAGGCGCCCAATAATTATCTAATGACATGGCAATTCAGTCATATGCATAGAAATATATCGGATGGCAAGGTATGTCAACGTACGCGTGGGCCAAATGGGTTCAGGAGTGAAGTGGGTTGGTCCCGCGCTGAGAATACCACCTATGACAAACACCAAATGTCAATATTCTCTGGGGACTCTGGTGTAAGAAGTCAGTACAACTCACGTCGGAAAGCCCTGGTATCACGTTTGGAAAGGCCTTGCATTAGGAGTGGGGAGTCAGCATAGTGGTCATGTTTGGTTAGGTCGCGCATCTTTCGGGTATCGCCGGCAGAACAGTGAGCTGGGAAACGGATGATTGATTACTGGCTGCACGTTGGGGTATACATATATACACCAACGTCACGTCAGCATATACATTGTGGTGAAGCGAGGCGAGGGCAACAGGGTCCGCCATGCTCGAATTGGATAACTTCGAGGGACCTCGCTATTCATCGCCAAAAACATGAGCATCTATGAGCCTGGACCCTGTCTGGTCGTCATTGCCATGCGCTTGTTCTTGAGCGAAGGAAAGGACCTGATTGGAATGGCACATGCTTACATGTTTGTGTGTAGTCGATATGAGTAATGAACCAGATGACGTAATGCAGCGAGACGGTCCATCCGTATCCATACGTATGGAACGTTTGGGAGGTTTCCTTGGGCCCTTGGAACGGGAATGTGAACACCAGCTCGACTTACACTCCTGTTTACTCTGTTCGAGATTGATCGGGTGGAATGGGAAGTGTCTGACTCGTCGAAATCAAAAGAATGAAGTAAATGGGGACCAGAATTTGGTCAGAACGTGTTCTCATCACTCTGGCAATCTCCCGCTTCATGCATTCAACAAGCACAACCGGGTACCTGGAAAGCATGCGGAACAATGCCCAGAGACCCGGCTAAGGGTGATTGTTCCTGAAGCCAGGTGAAGCAACGGCAGAAGTCAGAAGGATTGACGAACCTTCATTGCAAAAGTCCAATCGGTGACCAGGTATATTGAAGCAACGTGATTAGTGGCATAAATGTCACTCACCAATCAGTTAAATCCACGGATATCATCTGTTTTTACCCTTCTGCCAAGATAATCAAATAGGCATAATCAATGTCGAATTAGAAATCAATGTTTCGATCTTGATGATCATGAAGGATCATCAAGGCGCAAATTGTATTGAACGTTTGCGAGGAAAGTAATAAGTTTTGAGCAGATATGAAATTGGCTCCATTGTCGATTGACGATGAGGGAGGATGGGAATTCATTGTCATCAATTTACTTGCAGCGTAAATTGAAAGATATTGTCCACGACAAAATGGATGATCAAACTCATGAGGATAAACGGAGATATAAAAGCGGTGTGTCAACTTCAATATTGTAATAAGGCCACCCCCGATTGATCCATATGGAACAATGTACTTTGAATGAGATGGAGTCTATTCAGCAACATTAAGTCCATGCAGGGTGATGGAGTGAGATCAACGTAGACATTCTGTTTGCGCTTTTGTTCAGCCATGTGTCAGTTAAATTAATTGTCAAAATGAAAGAAGTGTAATGTAACATTGTGCAACCGATCATTCCAATGTGGATCATACTTTACAACGTAATCACCTGCTTTAATTTCATGGGGAGGCAAACGCGTGTTATCATCGCGATAATAACACGCGGCGCCAGGAAGCATATCAAGTATTTGACAAATTGGATAGCACGGGTTTGGATACGGGTATGGATAGCTACATACAGATTGATTGTAGTATTCAGTTTCAGTTCTAACGCCAGAGGAAGATGAGATTTGAGTGAACTAACCATCATAATTTGACTATGTCGATAAACTTTACTGTTTTGCGGGCCCTCAAAGCGTCGCTCAGCCAAACGTTACGATCTTCAACCATTTCTTCCAAAAAGAACTCGTACCGGGTTGCTTGCATGTTACGACACATGGACGCAAATCCTCCGTACCAGATGTTACTCAACTCACCAGCGGAAGCATTAAATAACCAAGACCCGTTCTCTTGTAAGTCTGGGAATTTCTTTGGATCGGTATACATTTGACAAAACGTGTCACTCTCTTTGTGAGACCGATGATGGAAAGGGTCCACCGGAATGACTGTGTTTTGAAACGGCGTCGCATCCTTGTCACCATTATGGATGACTCGTAAGAGATTGCATGCATTGTCGTAAAAAATTATGTCAGGCAGTCCATCAGGAAAAGCTTCGACCAGGTAGTCCTGATCAAAGCCATACATTGGTCAGTGGCAATTTAGCCTCAGGGGCAGCAAAGAGAAATAAGACCACTGACCCACACCGCACTGGGGGCTTCCGCATTATAGAAAGTTTGCCTTGATAAGATGATACCGCATGTACCTACAATAAGTTGGTCGTTATGGGTCCGGGACCGGCTCAAGACCGGTGTCCTTTTGGGTTGGGCTTCCCCACCCTCGCGGGCAGCCTCGTGTGCGCGATCGGCCTCGTCGGCCTGGTGGATGCTCTCTAGGTCCACGAGCTCAACAGTATCTGGGTGGAGGTGAACCGAGGGATCGGAAGGGAGATTGGATCCGGGGCGGTTGAGCATCGCTTTCAGTGAGAAGTTTTTGTTCTTCTTTGCTTGGAAAGCGTCCCATGCTTCTTGGTGACCTTCATCCTTGCATGTTTGCGATCCCGGCGTAGCCAGGGCGGTGCATGGTTGTGCAACACACCATCCTTCCAAAGTGAGCTCGGGTTCGGCGCAGAAGCGAGATGTTACTTTGGGTAAGGGATTTAGGCAGGGGCCATTGGGAGGGGGCAAGCCGGCGCGCTGTGCGAGTACCTGAAGTTGTGCGGAAGACGCAGTGCATCGCCAGTGGCCTATGGTAAGTCCATCCGTCACTACAGCTCGGATAACTGGACGAAAAAAAATTGAGTAATGGTTTTTTTTGTGATGTGGAATATGCGAGTATCAACTTACTTTGTGTAGCATTCTTTCCATCTTGTGTCACCGGGCGTTTGTGCAGACACAAAGAACAGAAATGGTTCCGGTGCGAAGACCCATGATTTGCAATATGATGTAATTCTCGTACCATTGCCGGCAATAAACGGTCGGCATTGTGTCCTTCAGCGCTGACGTAGAGTACATAACCACGTCGCTCACATCGTCGTAGCAAGCTGAATAGGTCCACAGCATCGCGGGCAACTTCTTGCGACATCTTGGGGTTGGATTGCTCGCCTGGATGGGTTGGTACTATTTGGGAGCCCTTCAGATGTGTGAGGTTGAATAAATTCACAATATTGAAATTCGATATGCTGTGAAAAGAGTTTCAGTTAGATTACTGGAAAGACGTTGTATGCAAAAGGAAAGCACTGACTGTGCCAACATCTGAGCATGACGAAAAGACCTTGCTAGTTGGTGGGTCATAGCAAAATGGCAGTGAACCTGGTAATAGTCGGGATGGGCGCCCTGCGCATGGGTATAGTAGACTCGTTGTTTGCCTGTTGTATAGTAGGATGGCCGATACTTTGCACCACAATCTATGAGCACTCAGAGTGGTAAGAAGTGATTTGGTCAGTGTTACAATTGTCAAGGAGGGAGGAGGGAAAGAACAACATACCTAAACAGCCCCACGTATGGAATTTGGCAGAGTGAATTCCATCCAGGTCATAAAGGTAGCCATTGATCCGAGGACGTTTGGCGAAGCTCTTTCCGGAAGCTTGGTCACACACCAAGCAGGTCGACGTGGGTGGAATTAAGTAAACCTCATGAACTTTTCGTTTTTTAAGGAGCTCATTCAGACCGTGCAGGCGAATTAGGTTGGTTGGATCAATGTGGGCAAAAGGGATCGAAGGGAATGTGAGATTCCATAGAGCTTTGTAGTCGTCGGCCTCGATGTTCAGCTGTAAGGCGAGTTGAATGAAAGGGAGAAGGCGAGTGTCTTGAGAGGTGAAGTGCATCGCTTTGTCAGCGCGCTCGTACACATCGCTTGCAAGAGTGACAAATCAAACAACGTTGGCCAGTGTCAGACGACTCGCAAGTAGTGGGTGGGATTGATTGAGACGAGTGGCAAACTCGGTTACTAGCATTTTGATTGGTTGGATGCGTTGAAGAATGAACGTAGGAACCAGAGGTAAGACTGACCGGATAGAGAAGAGGTAATTGAACTTGAGTGAGCATACCCACTTCCCAGTGTCATTGCAGCACAAAAACTCACGTTGAAGACCTTGACCTGCCGGTTGGATTGCCTGTCGTAGGAGGCGAGGTGGTGGTATCGGCTCGCGGGGGCAAGTGTGTAGGTGTTGGCGGTAAGAGGGGTTGAATATAGGTGTTTGGAGGAGGTTGGAAGTGGCGATAGAATCGACGTAATGGTAACGCTACGGTACGAGCACATGTGAGGACGGTAAACTACAGTGTCGGTGTAGACCCATGAAGTGGGAAGTCACCAGGTCACGTTCGCCGCAGCCTGATCACGTGTGGGAGCTGATGGTAGACTTGTGGGACGGAGTTGAAATGCATACAAGCATATGTGTACAGCTGTATTATGCTTTTAGTGGAGCTTCGGAATTCCCATGTGAGACGTCTCGCCAAAAATTCGAAAGTTCGATCTACCGGATGCCTAACACCTCAAACCATTTGGGTAGGGCAAAATTTGACATTTTGGGAAAACATAAAATAAAATAACAAGGGTATGTTTTATGAGACATACAATTGTTTGCAAGTTACTGTAGAAGATGTGTTAAATAATTTGAAGAAGAGGTAAACAATTTGGACAAAAACTCCATGTGGGCAGTTAAAAAACTTTGATTGCAAATATCCCTGTAATGTCCCAAAACATCCTACAATTGAGCTAAAACATCTGTTCAGTAACTTAATCCAATAAACAAAAGAATCATATGTCACAACTTGATGCTTTACTACATAATTCTTTTCCTTGACCCACTCTCATCTTGGGTGATACCTGGCCATGAACAACTCTTATGCTAAGACCCTCTTTAAAAATTGAATAGTCAGAATGTATAGTAAGTTCTGCTTCAAATAGGGACTAACCAGGATCCTTGTTTACCAATATGTTGAACAACCATCAAATATATGTCACCTGACAAACTTCCTATCCAGGTATTCCTGGACTGGTAAAGTACACACATACAAGTAATCAATCATAGTAGCCTCTGCCTGACTCAAGCTATCAGTCTAAAAATCAGAAAACACTCACTTTCACTAAATCTTTCATATTCACACCCTTGCACATCCACCGCAAAAGTAAAAAACCCAAAAATGCAGGGTTACCTGAATTGATCCTTCAGACAATTTCCAAAGATATTGAATCAATCATGTTGACTATACTTAATTAACGGCGCAATTTTTTACCTTACCCTCTTGTAGATGTCACAATTTCACCTGGGCCAACAACTTCAAAACTATTCATGTATCAACATCACAGCTGATGTCTGGTACCACTTTCACACTGACATGCCCAAAGCATGACGTCTGCATATAACAATAGTTATCTTCACTCACACTGGTTGTGATTCTACCAAATAATGGTTACCTTGTTCAAACATGTGGGAGTTTAATCAAGGAAAGCATTATACAGATGTGACACTTCTGATTAACATTTATTGAACAATTAGTATCTATTGTAAAAAGTATTCACCATGAGCTATATAATAATGTGATTGCTGTTTTCAAACTTTGCTAATTAAAGAAGTGTTCAATCATTACAACAACTTTGGCAAGGGTTATTTTGTTGTTTCAATATGAGCTAGTCTTCAATTGTCATTGGTACCATCAATGGTTAATCCAGACGTTGAAGAATGACCTCAAAGACCAAAACTGCCCCAATTTTCCTATGCTAGAAAATTTATTACAAGGCATTATTCTCTCTTATCCTCAGACATTACCATACCAAGTAATGAAGGTTGAGAAATTGAAACTTTCACATCCCCTCCATAACAAACCAAAACATTCAAGTCATAGGATGTTCTGGTCTTGTGATTGAATATTTAGTCGCATGCAATTATTGATAAAGGTTCCACTTTAGAATCTGATAAACATTTTATCAGCTCTTTCCTCTTCAATAAGCCACTAAAAAGATTACATTTCATGCAATTGGCTATCATTTGTGCCATAACACAGTCTCCTATTTCAGAGTACAAAAGCTGCAAGGCCGTTGACTTGACCAAGCCATAGCCTGGTAAGGTGTATTCCCTTTCTGTATCATTAGGCCTCATCTTTAGCTTGGCTGTAACACAGAGTTCAAATAGTTCTCACAGGAAATATGTGGTCAAGATATTCTGACTGAGATTTAGGGATTGATCCAATTGCTTTGTAGATTCTCATGGTGATGAAGGGCATCTGAAGAGTCAACCAGAAGATTGGATATGCTCCTATTAGCATAAATACCAGGAACTTCCTGGTACAAACAAAAGACCTTTTTTTTTGCCAAGAATATGCCAAATTTTAAATATTCCTAATGTTTTAACTTGTAGCATCATATAGGTATGAAATAGGCATTTAATTTGAGGCAAAAAAAATTACCAGTGGAAGAGTAGCCATCAAGTTTTATGATTTTGTTTGGCAATTTCGACTTATTCAAGTGCAGACAGTTTAATATTTGATGAATGTCTCAATTACCATAAGGAGTCATCTGATACCATGTTATACCTTCCCTTGCTTCTGCTCTATCTTGATAATTCCGTCTCCTTCACTTGATTGACTTGAAATACAATCCTTTTACCTCTGCTTCGTTGTGCTTCAGTGTGCCATTTTTCCTTACTGCTTTGTTCTTGGTCTGCTTCCATTTTTCTAGGTATGCGGTGTAGGAGGCTAAAGCGGATATCTATCAATCTCAAACTGAAAGTGTCTCAATGGGGAGAAATAAAATTTGCTCAAAGAATTACTGCACAACATCAACAAGACTGATTATTTGATATGTTTTGAGACCCTTTTGAAGACGTGGCTGGCTACCACATCTCAAGTGATAAATGAAGGAGAAGTTTCAAATCCAATTTTGACAGATTTTAACTGGAATAAGATTGCAAAACGGAGCCAATTGATTGTGGAACACACATATGTACACTGATACTACATTACTCAGGCCCCGCATAACACAATAAAATCACAACCTTATTCAGCTAATATACCAATGATGACTGGTTGATAACAATCAATGTAGATGGTTTTGGAAAGATACTTTTGAACCAGTTTGAAGTAATCCAAAAGCTGAATCAAAAGCAAGATAAGAAATATACATGTGATGACCACAGCGTAAGCAAAACCAGAAAGATATTCTTCAAATTCATTGGACCATACTGCTGTATAGTAGTTCTTTTGCAAACAATCTTCAATGATGATAAAAGCTTGAGTAGCAAAGGGCAATATTGGATGTGCAAATATGAGCGAGATCCAATGTACAGATAGCAAGTATTCAGGATTCACATAGCAATTTGGAAAGCCATTGTCTTACTAACATTTCATATGTGTACGTAGATTAAAACAGAGAAGTTACACTTCATACAACGGCAAAAAGTAGTGTCCTTTGCGTACGTCAAAGAATTCCCTTGATACTCAAGATGATTTGTTCCAGAGATACCCTTACAGACTATTGAGTTGTTACGTCGCGGAGAGAGTGATTGACGGTGGATTCGCACTAAATCAGACACAAACAGAAGAAAGAGATTATAAACACGACTGACAGATTCATATATAACAATGTAGGATGATGGAATAACAAAAATTGGATAATCGATTGATTGTAGGGGTGAGATAACCCCAAAACAATGGCAAAAAGAATGCCTTTTTATAGTCTAACTCAATCGCCATAGGCAATATGTGAAATTGAGGCGACCGTGACTTGGGTGCACCTCACTTTTAAAAGCAAGCACACGTAAAAGCACCATGAAAAGTTGATATAAGATTAACAAAGAGGACAAAGCAGAAATAGAATGCATTTCAGATCAAAAGGAACAAAAAAACATGATTGAGTTAGAATTTCAATTGGAACAATCAACAGGACCAGCTCGATCAAGTGTAATTGAGTGATTGCAAACACCTTGGGTGTACTAAATGCACCCATGGAATTTTGTCATTGTTCAGAACTTTGATTCACACAGAAAATGAACTTTCCTCAAAAAGGAGGGAACCAAAGAAGGAATCTGTTGAAACAAGAGTAGGTATGGTGCCTTCATAAAAAATTGACAGTTGATATGTGCACAAAAGAAAAGCTGAGGAGAACAATCGGACAGCTAAAAACATGAAAAAAGCATCAATTGGGGAATACTAAATCAAGTAAGACCAATTAACACTGAACAGGACTCATCTAGACTCGAGTCATGTGAGTACCTTGTACAGTCATAAAAGCAATAAGAAACGTTGCTGGGAAGCAATAGGACGCTTGAAAAGTAATAGAATGAAATCCGAAATCGGACTTGGTGGACGGGTAAGAAAAGGGACCAAAACTCATGCGAGTGGTCCATCTTTTTAGTATTTAGATTATGGTTTAGAGAGTGTTATATGCAATTAAGCCAAAAGCACTTAAAAAAAGCCCAGGCTCACAGGTCAAGTGGTGGGCGCGGATTTGGCAGAGAGGGGCGCGCCCAGGCGCAGAATCCATTGTCTGGGACGCGCCCAAATAGCAGGGGGCGTGTGGGCGCGCCTTTGAAGCAAAAAACCATTGAAAACATGAAAAAATCTTCACGGAAACAGCAATCAAGGCTGTGATGAAGCTCAAACACAAATGGGGATGTGAGAAAAGCTGTTTCAAGTCAGTATGACCACATTTTCAAGATAAGAATCACTGAAAGTTTTTGTTCCAGAACTAGTTTAAGTGTCTCCCGACTCAGATGAGCTCATCTGCAGGGCTTTCTCCGCCTTGAAAGTTAAACGGACCAGAATTACAATTTCATAGGCTTCCTCTAGCCCAAGATTAGGCCCAAGAAGACCTCCTACGCTTCAGACCATCCAAGTCTTGCGTATGGGCGCGCCACCCCCTGTTTTGAGAAATATATGACGCGCCCGGCGCGCCCTTCGACACGCCAAACGTGCCGCGCCCACCACCTGACTCACAGGTAGGTTAGGGTGCATTCACTTGAGGAATTTCTGACCAGAAATCACAGTCTGTAAATTTTACAATGCAAAAGTGAAACATGCACCACCAAATAGAAACTTTAAATTTGGCACAATGTGATTTCTCACCAGAAATTGCTTAAGTGAATGGGCCCTTAGACTTGACTTCAGGTATTTGATAATTTGTGTATATAAAAAGCTATTTTCAAGTTTCAGGTAGTTGTGTATATGATGAAAACTTAAAGGATGCTCTAAGAGCCTAGTTAGCAATGAAAAATATTAGCCGTGTTCAAACCTGACCCAGCGGACTTTTTGGCTGGAAGCTGT